CTGGACTGAAATAATACAATAATGTTAAAAGGAAAAAGTAAATGACCAGGGTAAGCTTCAACTCATGCAATCAACCTGTTTATGCGGGGGCATGTGACAAAGAGTCCGCATGTTATGCAATCTGTCAGCTAATTTGACAATGATGACACGAACCTAGAAGCAAACAATTTGATTAGGCACATTACTTTCCACAAATACCATCCCAAAACAAGAAAGAAAGAAAGAATAACCTCTTCTGTCATTGATAGAAACATCTGCCTGAGATCATCAGCTTTCACATCTTTTACAGAAACATTTTCATTCTTATACTTCAATTTTCCCAGTTTGGACACCTGGTTATGAAACAAGATTAAAGAAACTCAAACAAGCCAAAACCATCTGGATTTTTGTCAAATATGACATTCAAACTTTATCAGACAAGTACACTAATGACGTATATATACACATATATAAATCACCTTAGTCTCTCCTTCTACAATACGACGTACGGTGTGTCCAAATTCCTCCTCTATTCTTTCAAATGTAACAACATTTGTATCTTCTACAGTGTCATGCAGCAATCCAGCTGCAATGGACTCCCAATCTAGCTCCTAGAATAATAGTTGAGACAAGTTAGACCTCTTATCAGAATGCATAATACATTTTCCGACAAGAGCATACTTCTATTAACTCACAAGTTCTCCAAGAATGCGCGCAACTTCAACTGGATGAATGATGAATGGCTCCCCACTCCGTCTTTTTTGACCATAATGTGCCTCAAAAGCTAGCTGTACAAAACAACTCATGTCAAGAGATATTTTTCAAAAAGTGCATGGTAATAGTTTTCTGCAAAGCAAAGACATTACCTTGAGAGCATTATGGACCAATTCCAACTCTTTAGGTGAAAGGTATGATATAGTAGGCTTCAGATCCTGATGCATTATAACATTAATAAGTATAAGACAGTTACAGCTTTGCTTACAGAAAATGCGCATTCTTAAGGATAAGAGGTTTTAAAAAAGTCAATTGTACCTCCCACAACCTTTCAGGAGAAACCTCATTAGAGGTATCTGAAAAGACGGATGACAAACAATACAACTGCCATCTTTTACAGCCAACCTCAAGCAAGCTTGATCTAAAGAGTTTTTCAAGCAGTACAAGCTCGGAAATATCTGTTGAATGCCATCCACCAGCATCAAGAGCCTAGTAAAAACACAAGATTGAATCAGCAAAAAAGTATTAGCAACTTTGCTGTCTATGCATGCAAGTTGTACAAAAATGCTTTAAGAAATTGCATGTTTTACTTGCCCAAAAATCACCCCCCAACCCCCAATGTTCTAACCTTAATATATCACTCTCCATTTTCTTTATTGAATGAATTCACCAACAATTTTTGGATGATTCCACGCATTAAAGAACACACCAAATCACATTCTGAGCTCACCGAAACATTTCTATTTGTCAACCTAATATTAACAACCCCTCTTAAGTACAAGTTCGGGATCTGACTGGAAGGCCTATTAAAAGAATCAAGGTCCTATTTCATACCACAACATCAATAAATGAAAACAACTACTTATACATTAAATAAAGTAAATTCAATCTAAAATAATCTCTGATGCCAATATATTTCTAAACAAGCTTCGAACTTCTGATAATCTACAAAACCTAAGATGGAGTAGTAAAAATCAAACTCACCGATCTGATACGAGCTCTTCTTCCGTGGCGGGCGTAGGTGAAGGAGGAAGAATGAGAAGGATTGGCAGTGCTGGCAAGGAATCCAGTTAAGGCTCTTGGAGCTTTGGAAGCACAAGAAAGCAAGCTACAGTCGAACCTTACACTTCTTTCCCCTTTCGTTAACTTACATATATTCACGCATTCCAAGGAAACTGCAATCAAATGAATCAAAAAACAAATAACTAAATAGATGAACAATAAAATCGAAGCCGAAATAAACATAGAATTAATTTCTTCACACTCTTTTGGTTGCTTAAAAATTCAAAACTAAGTCAAAATTAAGTGAAGAAACAAGCACCGGAAGACAGATATTCCATCATTTTCCCCCATCATTCGTTCTTATTAACAAAAAAAGAAACAAAGCTGATCGGGAAAAAAGTTACAAATTAATAAATTTAAATTGAAAAAAATAAAGTAGTGCTACTCACCGGATAAGCAAGAAGCAGAGGCCATTTGTACAATAGCAGAGAAATCTCATTGAATCGAACTAAGCATTAAACAATAACTCATTGATCAACAATTCAAACAAACAAAAAACTAAGTGAGCTTTATGTGGAAGTGGAGCTGATGGAAAAGGAAAAATATTATAGATTGATAATTTGGACCAATAAGCAATGAATTTGAAAGCAAAGGATGATGGCGAAGAGATAATCCAGAGAGAGAAATGAAGAGATATTGAAGCCACACAAATATTCAATACCTTCAATTTCTATAATTTTTATTTGTGAAAATTACATAAATGGTCTCTGAACTTTAAATTATTTTCATTTTTACATGTTGATTCAGCTTCCATCAGTGATCAGTGGCCGAAATAGGTGACTAAGTTATAAGCATCTTAAAACTTTAGTGATCATTAGTATAGTTTATCCTTATTATTTTATTCTTTTTAAAGAAGATGATGAATGCAATATGAATGGCGGAAAATTTAATTTGGGTTTCGTCAAATTTTTAGTTGGAATTTAATTGAGTTTATTTATCGTTGCGGGGACCTTAAAGTCATCAAAATTCAAATCCACCAATTAAATTATTTTAATTTTATAAGAATAAAGATACTTAGCTTTTTTAATAACAGTTTTAAATATATATTTATTTAGTAGGTTTAATATTTTAATTTAACTCACGATTATTTTCTTAATCTTGGTATAGAAACTTTTTTTATTCATTTAATTATTAAAAAATCATTTTGTTTCATCAACAACAATTAATTAATTTAGTGAGATCATACGTTAAATATTTTAAACAAAATGAGTTAATGCGATTTTTTATTGTTCGATTTTATATTGAACACAGTAATGAATGTTATAGACAGATTGGACAATTATTATAATAATTTGTGACAAAAATATCATATCTCAATAGATGAAATAATCAAGATAAACAACTATGATGATGATCCTACAATAAATTATACATTCTAATAAGTTAATAACACTAATTTTATATTAGAAATGAAAAGAATAGGTTAGAAGTTAAAAGGTTGAATAATATTAAAGAGGGTAAACTACACGGTTAGTACCTAAATTATTATTTTTATTCCATCTTGGTATCAAAATTTTATTTTTTAGAATTATATTTAACATTTAGTTTATGTTTCATTTTAACATCCCTTGCTAAAAACTTAATGGTGATGTTGATGTGACAAAATAAAATAGTATCACGTCACCATTGAAAAAAATATCAATTCAGTAGTTCTATTAATTTTTAATGATGGGTACCAAACTAAAACCTAAAATAAACTGTTGGGTTCCAAAACGGAATAAAAGTAATAGTTTAGGTACTAAATGTATAGTTTACCCTATTAAATAAAGGAAACTTTAATGGAGCTAATATTTGCGCTGCTTTTCTAGCTGAAGACGTATTTTCTGATTTGGACTGAAAACGTGAATGGAAAGAGGAGATTGTGCCCTTCACCCATGTCATCTCATCCATGTGCCAATGCCACGGAACCTAAAGAGCCGTGACGGCGCCACATGTTAACCACTGTCAAGCATATAATCACCAAATTCATTTTCTCCAGCATCAGGAAAAAATGAAGAGATTCGTTGTATTTGGGTTCCCTTGGTACATCGATTCTAGTTTAGATAAAGGGAATCTCTGTACGACTAGTTTATACATCTACAAGAGAACAAAGCTACAGGCTTTGGCGTTTTCCATGGCTATGACCAGATGCTTTGCTGACACCAGCGTTTCAGTCATTTCTTTCCCGGAAAATTCACAACATCCCATTTCCAGAGCACAAACACATTTTTTTTTTCTTGAAAAACGATGCAAGCAACATGCATTTTTGAACTTCTAAACTGGTAAATGCATGTTAGGGTTTACAAAATATCAACGTGCTTTGCATTGATAGTGGGATTGGACCTAACATGAGCTAACGTGTTTACAGGAATACTATAACTGGTAAAAATGTTAATAATATGCATACAAAACACGAAATCTGAGTATTAAAATTTATGGGTTAAGTATACTAGAGGACACTAAACTATGTAAAAATGATTTTTTTGGTCAACAACTTCTAAATGTTATAAAATAATTTTTGAACTTCTTAAATGGTTACAAAATGGTCCCCTGTAAATTTAAAATGGTGATAATTTTTTATAGATTTAAGGACTATTTTGTAATAACTTGCTAAGTTTAAAGACCATTTTATAACAGCTCGATAAATTTCAATGGCTATTTTGCAACCGTTTGGGAAGTTCAATAACCATTTTGTGACATTTAAAAGATTGTTAGCCAAAAAAATTATTTCTACATAGTTCAATGACCTCCAGTGTCCTTTACCCTAAATGTTATAGGGTAAATGAACTTTCAAAAATTACAAAATGGTTATAAAATTATTGAACTGTTATAAAATGGTCATGCAATGTTATAGTAAGTGTAAAAGTTTAATAAGTTTAATGTTCATTTTGTAAAAAAAAGTTTAATGGTCATCTTTTAAGAGTTCGATAAATTTAATGATAATTTTATAACTTTTATATGTTTAGTGACCAAAACGATCAATTGAGCATAGTTCAGTGGCCTATAATGTATTTTACCCTAAAATTTATATAAAAGTATTCCTTTCATTTGTTAGCTTCAAAGAAGTGTAAGTCGTCTTTGAAATCAATGCAGTTACCTCTGCAATTTGATAAGAATTGTAGAAAAAAGTATGATTTCTGTTTTATATGAACAAAGTATAAAGTTTAGAAAGACGGTAATGATGTAGGGATATTCATTCAATAACTAGAATTTCTCTGCTACTCAAAAGGGTTGCAAAAGCTAGAAGATGGCATCACTGACTTCTGGTTCCTCTTTACGTGCTGCTGTCCGATGGAGACGATTGCATGTTACAGAAATGCTCTCCTTTAAGAAGGCTGATTACCTGTTAAATTTGGTGTTTAAACAAAGCAAAAATGATGATTTATAAGCCATAGCTGTAATTCAAGGAAGGGTTCTGATTACCTGAGTCATATAGGGTCTAGAAATTGGCTTGGTCCTTGTACAAGCAGTTGCAGCAGCCATGACTCTGTAAATTCCATGCATGTCCGAGCACTCTGAGTCTTCCTCCAACAGCTCATAGAATTTTCTTTTCAGCATCAAAGGCCGGGCCTGCCATTTCCGAATATAGCCGAATGTTACGGCCTCGATAAGGCTGAAACAAAGCTAGGGAACGAGAAACGGAGAATTTCTAAGGTGAAGCTGATGATGATAGACTACTAACCCACTCGATTAAGCTCTTGTCGTCCTCGGGCGCCGATGTTCGGCAAAACAGTCTCAATAGCAGAACTCCGAATGATAGGACATCGCTTTTCACCAGTTCCATTGTTTCATGGTCTAAAGGATCCATTAGACACCTTTATCAACAAAAGTTGCTTTAAGTTGATTGCTCAAGAAAAACACATAAAGCAAGTTGCTCCTAATGAGAGTGGATGTGTACCTATTCTTGGAGTTGAATGATAGTTGTTCATTATGAAGCCATGCAGCCTTTCCAAAGCCAGAAATCTAATAAGAAAAAGAACGGCACGATTAGAGAATCCGAAGATGATATACCCTAGTAAGAGGTTTCGGTTTAAGATATTTTACCATAGGCTGCAAATCACGCCTTATGAAAATGTTGCGGGGCTGCAATTCGCCATGGACGACGGGCCATTGTGGACAATCTTTGTGCATGTATCGAACAGCTTGTGCTATAGTTATGGCAATCTTAAGTCTAGCTTCGAAACTCAGCTCCCTTCTTTCCGAGCCTGCAAGACGAATGGAGCCTTCAGCAAATTGAATATGAACATTTAAAATGAAGGATTATATTTCCAGAACTAACAACTCACCCCAAATGTATCTATCTAATGTCACTCCTTGTAGCAGGGGAAAGATTAAAATCGTTCCATTTTCGCTCTGATGGTAACCCGTGATAACCGATATGTTCTTGTGGTTCATACACGAGGATGCTCTCATTTCTGCTTCAAGAATGGTTGTAGAGTGTGGCCCAAACCTCTTTACTAATACAGATTGTTGGTCAAGACATCCCATATATGTGCTATAGTTCTTGTCACGTTCATTACTAGCCTTTGTTGAAAATCTCTTTGTTATTTCCATAATCATTTCCCAGCTTAGCTGCTGTGGGCTGATGTTGCTACATGGAAGATTATGACCTGTTTTAGTGAGCTCAAATTGTCTCGGATTTTCATTTTCCTTAAGTGGCTCCGACTCTGTTTCCTTTTCGATTTCTCCAATGGCACTCGGGTGAATGACCGGCTTCAGTTGTGATGTCGATGACGATCCCTTCATCATCTTCGGGGATTTGGGGTTATGGATTACTTCTTCCATGAGCATTAAGCTGTCTGACGACACATCCTCGGTTATCCAATGATCATCAACAACGGCACCTTCCCCATCAGTCACCAATGAAACATTACATTCGATTCCGATCAGCCGGAAAGTCAAGTGTTTTAAAAAGGAACTGCAAGAGAAAACTTGAAGCTTCTTCAAGCTAGCTAAAATACATAGAGGAAGAGCAAAAGAATAAGGAATTAAACCTATCAAGAATAATCCAAGTGGCCCCAACATTGTTGGCCTCTTCAATTATGATATCCTTTGGTTGGTAGCCTGCAGCAACCTTAACCAGAAACTTCACCTGTAATATAACATTAAGTTGGTTTATAATCAAAATCCAAGTATTCCGAGACATTTTTTTTATCAGTGTTCGACACTCACACACGAGTCTGAGTAACATAGAAACAAAGGAATAGCTAGAACACTCACTCCATTGCTTTTGAATCTTTCATAAAAGGGTCTGAAAATTCGCATGTAATCCTCTTTTTTTTGGCTGACTTGATGACGAAGGAACCTGATATACGGATCATCTCCACACGTATGATTGCACCTATGATCTCCATGATAACGTTTGCTCGAAGACGGTCCGGACCCTTCAACGGAGAGAAGGGTGAGAGCTAAAATTTCATCCACCTTATTATTACTCGCATATTTCGAAGCCCACAGCAGCGGCGCAACGCCTCTCTTATCTGCGGCGACTTTTTCTCCTTCTAAAACAACGATCACTCTATGTAAACTCTCCCCCCTTTTCCTAGTCGTCATTGTTAATCGATATCCCCCTTGTTTCAGTAAGCTGTTTCGAGACTATTCCCTGTTGCTTAGCATTTATTTTGAACACCAATGGCAGCTTTCTACTATGTGATCGACATAGTTATTCTTGTTCCTTGTTATTAACAAGACATTCAGTCTGGGAATTGCCGGAAACCTTGTTGTTCATTTGGCTTTACTTACCATTCGCCTCTTTACATTTTGTTCGAACCGCCAACCAGACACCGAATACTTCACAAATATGGCTCTAGAGATTTGGCCTTTTCGGAAACGTTAATGAATTCCATGAGAGAGTTGAGTTGCCTGGAAATAGTGCTGGTGCGGAATTTGCAATACGGACAGGTCGGGGGAAATGTATAGAGCATTGAAAAGTGGGAAGGAGGACGAAACTAAGCTTGAGCTTGGATGACTCAGAAATGCCATTATCACTCTGCTTTCGGGGAAGAAAGATGCAGCAGTCCAAACAGACGATCTCCTTTTTAACGTTTTATTTAGAATTTAGTGGATTAACATTGTTTTGTCAACTGCACGTGTGGAATGCTTTTGTAGACAAATTTTAATACTCAAATATTCTTTTTTCATAATAGGTCATATCCTAAGACCACCAACTAGTTTTTCTACATGATTTCTAACGGATCAAGTTATCTGCTAAAATTAAATTTAAGGTAAACTATACAATTGACTACCTAATTATTTATCCCTTTTATTTTATTGACTAACTTTTTAATTTTATCAATCGGGTCACTTAACTATTTAAATATTGTCAATCAAGCCACATGCTTTAAATATTAATGCTGACATGGCAATTAACAAAATTTGTATAATTACACATTCAGTCCTCATTACTTACCCATTCTATTAATTTTTTCTAACTTTTATTTAATTTAAAAAATTTAATCATCAATCCGATGGTGATATGTGTTACTGTGTGATTGGATTTTTTTAATATTTTTATTTAATAAAATTTCAATCCAATCAAATGGTGCCACATATCACCAATTGAATGAATATAAAATAAATTAAATCAATAACCGTTGATTTTGGGGTTTGAATCTAGGAGGCAAACCAAAAAATTAAATGCCCTACCTACTAAGCTCGACTACTAAATTTGTTAAGTTTACACAACATAATATATATAACTTATAATATAGTTAATGGTAATAAAGAAAGGAAAAATGATCTTATAAGGACTCAAACATGAAATAATTAAACAATATGAAAATATAAAATATATATATATAAACAAATATTATAATTGATTAATAAATGAATATGTTTTATTTATATTTTAAATCACATTTAATGCAAATTTTAAAATAAAAGTGAATTTAATATGTTATAATTGAAATGTATCATTTTTTATATTTTAAATTAATAAATTATATTCATTATTCTAATTTTATTGAACTGAAATGTATTATATCTTATATTTTAAAATATTATAATGTTGATCGGATTCTAATCTTATTTAACAACTCTATATTAAAATAGACTAATTCAATAAAATCAAATTTATCCTCAAATTTTCTTAAACATATAATGAACAAATAATAAAATATAAAATTATAACTCTGATAGAGATATAAATAAGTCAATGCATAAGTAAAAATGCTTACTACGATAAGCCCTCAACTATTAGGAAAATTCTAAGTCAACAAAGCTCGTCTTTATATTTCAATTATAATATATTAATTATTTTTATTTTTATTTTCATTAAAATGATTTAAAAATATAAATAAAATGCATTCATGTATTAATCAATTATAATATTTGTGTGTGTATATATATATCATATTATCGTATTATTAGGTCATTTTCCCTTTTTTAATTGCCATTGACTTATTATATTATATTATATTATATTATATTATATTATATTATATTATATTATATTATATTATATTATATTATATTATATTATATTATATTATATATTATATTATATATATATTTATTATATTATATATATTATATTATATATATTATATTATATATATTATATTATATTATATTATATTATATTATATTTATTATATTATTATATATATTATATATTACATTACAATACATTACATTACATTTAGTTTATTAATTATATATATTATTATATTATATTATATTATATTTATATTATATTATATTATATTATATATTATATTATATCTATTATATTATATATATTATATTATTATTATATATATTATATTATATTATATATATTATATATTATATTATATATATATTATATATATTATATTATATATATTATATATATATTGTATTATATTACGCCATAATAGATTTATCATTTAAATGGTTCAGCCCAGTGGTTGTGGTGTGTGCTTCTTCTCCTCACTTATTGGGTTCAAACCCCACCAGTAGCGGTTATTGATTTAATTTATTTTCTATTCATTCAATTGGTGACACGTGACACCATTTGATTGTATTGAAAAATTATTAATTAAATAAAATATTAAAAAAAACCAATCACACAATGACACTGTCACCATTAGATTGAGAATTAAATTTATTGAATTAAATAAAAGCTAGGATCAAATTGATAGAATGTGTAAATAATGATGACTAAATGTGTAATTATATTAATTTTGTTAACAGTCACGTTAGCTCCTCCGTTAATATTTAACGGCAAGTGGCTTGATTGGCAAGATTTAAATAGTTAGGTGACCCGATTGACAAAATTAAAAGATCGATGATTAAAGTAAAATGAGTAAATAATTAGGTGGTTAATGGTATAGTTTACCCTTAAATTTATTATGTGACAAATTATATTTGTGTGATCCAACAATTTAAAATTATTTATCATGATCTAAGGACTGATATTAACACTATCTGTGAATATATAAGTTACAATGTCGAAATCTTTCTTCTTTTTCAAGTTTATGAAATTTGTTATCTCTTTTTATCTCATAAAACTATTAATTACAAATCTACATTTCAAATATATGAAAATTTTTAATAAAATAATAATATTAATATAATTTAGGGACATAAAATTTTTCGAAGGAAATGAAATATTATGATCCTTAAATCAGAATATCATGAAACGGGCCAGCAGGTAAGGCCTTGACTCCTTAGTAAGGTTGAATAATTATAGGGTTTGCTGATCTTAATTATTGAAAAATCAAATTAGTCTCTTTTAGCCTATGACAAATGGAATAATGTATTTGTGAGTCTATGATCCCCTCAAAAAATAAAGAAAATAAATTGTAATCATTTTAATAATTTTTCTTTAATTTTATGTCATGGTTGAATGCATCTTTTATTTTATATAATTTGTTATAATAATTTAATATTTAATTTGAATATATTTATTTAAAAATTAAATAATTACATTATGAAACATCGATATAAATATAATATTTAAAATTTAATATAATTTCTGAAATACAGTGAACTGTGATATGATAAATTCTTAAAAATTAACAATAAATCTAATGCTAATACCAAGCAAAGGCAGATAGTAACTGATCTTTATATTATTGATTAAGAACAAAGTGGACAAGTTGCAATATTCTATGGGTGCAGTATTAGTATATGATTTTCATGCATATTCTGAAATATATATATATATATATATATATATATATATATTACTCGAAAATTAAGCAAGTTTTAAATAATTTTTACATTTTTATTGTTAATAGTTTAATAACTCAATCATTTGTCTATCCGATTAATAATTTGAATAAAAAAATAATACAGTTAAAATAATTAAAATCACAAAATCAATAAAACTATATTATTAAATATTTAATGTTAATTTTATTTTTAATTGTCGCAACCGTCTTTCGGTTGGGCCCCGGAATTGGGCTTCGACTTAGGAAAATGGATTGGAGTCGCCACCGATCATTTATTTAAAAATAAATGGGTTGATCGGATACCCTATTTCTTACCTGATCTGCGTCTTACCAGAAATATGTCGGGCTCGGGAGTCGGTTACGGTCAAGGAAGGATTAGCACCCTTGAACTGCCCTTTCGGTACTACGTAATTTCCAGTTGTCTTAATTAAGAAAAATAACAAGTTAAATTAAAAGGTAAAATTTCGACCCCAATTACTTACCCTTTATTGATTTGAAAATATCCTTAAAAAATCGAGAAATGTGTTAGATAAACAAGGTAAATAAAACAAATAAGGTAAAAGGGAAAAATAAAATAAATAAAATAAATAAGATAAAGAAAAAAAATAGTAAAGTAATAATTATATATAGTAATATTTGAAAAAGGAAAAAAATATATATATATATACATCAAAGTATTAAAAATAGAAAAGTTACCCTCTCACTTCACCGAAAGTGAGGGGCTTTAGTCAGAAATAAGACAAAAAAATGGATCCTCTAGGTTAGTAATATATAATATAATGTTTAATAATAATAATGATAAAGACACAAGATTTTTTTAAAAAAATAATATAATAATAATAAATAAAAAAACGAAAATAATATATATATATATATAAAGTTATAAGATATATTACGTAAATAAAAAAAATTATCAAATAAAAATAGTAAGATAATATTATATAATAATAGGTATATAAATCAACCATTAAAAGTATAAAAAATATATGACTAGATAAGATAATTACAATATAATAATAATAGACTTATAAGTAGAATATTAAAGAAATATATATATATATATAGATATATTATATATATATATATATAATAATATATAATAAAAATAAATAATAAAATATCCATATAAATAAAGGTACTAATAGATTTTTTAAAAAGCTCTTCCCCTCCTTTAACCGAAATCAAACCGGTTTTTCAAATAAGCCTCGGGGTAGATCTAGGTTCGAAACTTCGAAACCCTACCCATTTTGGTCATCGGCGCAACCACGTTTTGGGTTATTCGAACCAAATCTCAAGAAAAATAACGTGCACATGCAAAAGAAAGAAAAAAGAAAATGCTACCTTTTATTTCCTTTTCGAATCCTTTACAATAGCTTTGCCTTTGTATCTTCCCGT